GTGACACACGATGTGTGGTCCACGAGACAGCGACGGGTCCAGTCGTTCCGTTCTCGGGCCTGCACTTGGCTCAGGGCCGACAGTCGCAGCCGGTGGGGGGGGGGGGGGGGGGTGTGCGGGGTGGGGTGGTGGCGGGGGAGGACATTGTGGAGAGAGTGGTAGCACAGGCGGACGCTGAGGCTGTGCAAGGTGGGCGAGAGGCAGCGGATGTTCATGTGGAGGGCTTGCAATAGGCGGTGGATGAGGCAGTGCAGGCAGGACGGCGGCGAGACGAGGGTGTGGGTGACGCACGATGTGTGGTCCAGGAGACAGCGACGGGTCCAGTCGTTCCATTCTCGGGCCTGCACTTGGATCAGGGCCGATAGTCGCAGCCGGTGCCGGTGGCAGTGCATGGTGTGCCGCCGCCCGTTATCACGGATTTGGGGTCTGAGCCGGTGGTTGCGCCACCGCGTCTTCCTAGTCACTTTGCTCCGCAGGAGGTCCGTCGTCCTTTGGATGCAGACGAGTTGGCGAGAGAGGCTGTCCGCGATGTGACTCGCTTGGACCGGTGGATCTTTGACCAGAGGCTGCAGCATCCAGCATGGCAGGCGATCCCTCCAGTTCCATGGGGTCCTGCATCGCCGGTGTGGTCTGGGTCTACCTCCATCGGAGCACGTACGGGGGAAGATGTTCCAGGGGTTTCAGGTGGCGTCGTGGAGACGGCGCCACGTACACGAGATATGCCACCCCCTCCTCCTAGACCACCTGTAGGTGATCCGTCATCATCGCCCACAGGCAGAGGCTCTCGATCTCCACACACGCCTGGGAGGGCTAGGATTCGGGACACTACAGCCGATGTGGGGGACGTGAGTGACACAGCGTTGTTCGGGAGGACACACATAGATTTGGATTCCACTCGCCGTGTCACGGAGCACACTGCACGTCTACAGCCGAATTCAGGACGCCGCGGTGGCAGGATGACCGCAGCGAGGGAGGTGGGAGCATCAGGTTGTGAGCCTCAGCGAGGTCGCGACAGAGGAGTGTCCGCCGATAGCTTGGAGTACGCTCTGAGAGCAGCGACGCGTGCCGTACTTGAGCAGACTCCACGCAAGCGCAGAGTGCCTCCTCGTCCACGCCCCGTGCCCGCACAGGGAGGAGATGCACTTGAAGAGACTTCGAGGGCAGAGGGGTTGGGGATGCCTCGTGGATCGCGCCGTGAGCAGACGGTTGAAGAGGCTACTGCGAGGGTTGTTGTGTTGAGGAAGGCAGGAGCCCCTGTCACCATCGAGGAGGATGATCCTGAGACAGATGTGGCAGTGCGGGAGGACGAGGACTATGAGGGTGAGGAGGAGGGAGAGGAGGAGAGTGAGAGAGGTTCCGATGGTGACTACGACGACGCCCAGCACGAGCCCCCACCTCTTCCACCGATGCGTGCAGCCAGACGGCGCGCTGCTCAAACTTCTTCATCAGCACGAGGGAGGAGGAGTTCGACATCCGGCACGCGAAGGGGTACGAGGAGACAGAGCGGGAAGGGGAAGAAGTGTCATTGACTGATGAGTCCAACACTCCTTTTTTCCCTGCTCACACTGCGGTTCGTCATGTTGTGCGGTCCTAGTTTTTTTGGTCGTCTCGTCTTGTCTTAGTGTTGTTAGGCTCTCAGTGGTTGTGTGCGTGCAGCGTGCTACAAATGTATTAGATGATGTTTCCTTTGTTTTCGGTGTGTATGATTTTGGTACCAGTATGGTGTTCGTAGAGTAGCGTTGGACTTGTAGGGTGTTCGAAGAGTAGCTACGACACGACTTGTACACTACAGTTTCGTTTGTTTTTTTTTTCGACATTTGGTACCACTGCCTTAGAAGTAGCCTGTAGGATACATTGCATATGTTGCATTTTTCATTTCTGTTTTCAGTGACAGATACTTTGAGTCGTTGAGGACTTTTCATGCACAGTACATTTTCCATGTACAGTTTCAGTTTCGATCGATGCTCGTCGTGGTCGGCGTGCGCGAGCTTTCGTGACCATTTTCATCTGGTGTGATTTTATATATTTCATTGTTGTTATCATTTGCAATCTCATTTCCTACGTTTGTTTCTTGTACAATTCTACTTCAGTTTTTTGCCTGAAGAGTTGCTTGTGTGGTTGTTTTTTTTTTTTCCTTTTCTGTGTTGATTGTTGAAACAAATTATCATTGTATGAAGTACTAACTGATATTTGGGGGGGGAGGGGTTGGATGCAAACTGCTAAATGGGGGGGGAGGGTTTGGGGTTATTTGGGGGGGT